ACAGATACAAGTCCATTATCTGAGGCCATGAGGATATCATTAGAGACTTTCACCAGAGCTGTTTCAGTGCTATGATAAGCTCTAAAGTCAGAATTAAACTCAGAATTAAAAGTTCATTATGGTGTAAGTTTTCATACGCTTGTTTAGCAACTATTTTCTCAAGAACTTTAGATAAGATCGAAAGATTGGATATAGGTCTATAATTGGCCAAGTCTTCTGGGTCAGGGTCGGTTTCTTAAGTAAAGGTTTAATTACAGCTCCCTTAAAAGCTTGAGGTACATATCCCTGTAACAGGGAGAGATTAATCACATCTAAAATGGAGGAGGTAATTTCAGAGAATACTTCCTTAAATAACTTTGTTACAACTGGATCTAACATACAAGTTTAATGCTTAGATGAAGATAAAAGTTTTGCTAACTCTGAAAGTTCAACTGGATGAAAACAGTCTACACCCATTTCAGATTCTATAATTACCTCAGAAATAAAATTCCTCAGGCAAGTAGACTAAAAAATAACTTAGAAAGAAAGTTACTAATGTTGGATTTAAATTGTAATGAAATATTCCAGATGTGCCATTGACATGCAATGTACAGGAATGTTATGAAAATACCAACAGTATACATACCCCATTGAAAGTGGCAGTGTTAAGGCGAAGGGGGCTCAAAATGTGGCAAAGTGGGATCTCTTCGGTGAAATAGATAAGAAAATCTCTTATATGTAAATTGAAAAAATAAAATATCCCCAAAAAATACAAAAAACTTCTAACTACTTTTGTTATTTTTCTTCTAAGAAACAAAAACAACTTCTAGTTATAGCCTAACTGAGAAAAATGTTAATAAATGTAACAATAAAACTCTAATAAATACATAAATAAATGAATAAATATTAAAGAAAATACAAAAAGAGACCTTGAAATACCATGTTGGACTGATTTTAGCCATCGCTGTAAGGAGCACCTGAGGCAGTAAGACTTATCACCTGAGGCAGTAAGACTTATCACCAAAAAAAATTCAAATCTGACACCCCTGCACTAGAAAATATATGCAGAATAAAGATAAACCAGATTGTCTGGTGGCTTCCTTTATCTTTTGTAAGTTCCTCTGCAGTATTCTGTCTCTGGCTCTGAAATCCTCTGATCTTCCCTTACACTGACATCATGTTTGTGTCCTTCACTTACGGTCAAGGAGATCACCTTAAGTTGTTAAATTAGCCAATATCACATTCACACAGGTCAAAGAAGCAGCTCGATTTAGAAATCATGTCATCATAGTGAAAATGCATTATAGTATCAGAATCAGAATTACTTTATTAATGAATATATATTAATATATAATACTATATATTACTTAGTGAATTAATATATACTCTAAGCATGTTTATTATAATGTAGTTAATTCTTATGTAAATTGATGTATAGTTTAAAAGGCTGTAGGTGGATTTGTATTTTAATGCCAGAAAATTAGGGGTGCCATTGGGAGTGTGGGACAAGGTTCTACAGCATAGTGTAGATCCATGCCTTCCATTTTGTTACACTACAACACTAATCTCTTCTACTATGAATGTTGTTCTTTAGGTCAACATAAAATTAAGCATTTAAACTTGGAGGGAAAATAAATTATATTTTAAATTTTTTTCCATGCCATTTTTTTTTTGAGTATGTTTTGTTTTTAATCTGCTTTGCTCTCTATTAGAAAATCCCATTTAAAATGGATTGAAAGCTGCGGTTGTGATTTGACCAAAAAAATGATAAAAGGTTTCATTGGGGTATAATATGTTCATGGTGTTCTGTGTATCTGTTTATAGGATATATCAGGTGGAGCTCCATGATTTGTTGATTGGTTCAGAGTGCAAACGGTCATATTCAATAGATTTTGAAAAGTTTATTTATTTCAGTAACTCAATTCACTAGTGAAAGACATAATGAATTATTAAGCACACTGCAGTTTTAAATTCTTTATTTCTAATGACCTTACAAAAATATGAAATTAAAGCTTAATGGGGGGATAGTGCTACATTATATTCGTAAAGGTCTTACGTCATTAGAATATTATATCAATTAAAAAGTTATTTGCGCCAACCTGTGGGTTTAATTAAAACTATGTTTAGTACCTGTTCAAAGGATGTTACTTTCTAAAAATACTTTTCATGTGACAAATAAAGCTTATCAGAGCACATATTCAAACAATACAGCAGCTTTAAAAAATGAAGGAATGAAACAAAATGGCCGAGTATACGTATAGAGACTAAGCTGAAAAAAAGGTTTGTGACTGTTTTAAGCTATTCACAGAAACGTTAGCACACGGTTACCTGAGCGTTAAGTACTTTTACGTAATTTGTCTACACTGAAACGGGGACAGTCATTCTATAAAACTAATTCCACTGATGTAATCTTTTTGATTAACTAATTGAATTAGCATTCTTCCTCTTTTGTGCCTTTGCTGTGCTTTATGATAATAAAATCTGGAGTCCAGTAATCTGATCAAAGTCCACTTTTTATCAAGCAAAAAATTAGGAAAATAAAACTCTAGAAAAATTTCAAAAGATGCATTGTCTCCCTTCTCGTTGTGTATCCCATTTGAGGAATGAATTAGTCAGAACGAAAAAAGTTCAGGAGGGAGGCTGAGCTGGTTCTTTAGTCCTCCCAAAAGCATTTAGCAGAACAACAGTAGAAGCATGTGATGATTTTAATCTAAATGTAAAATCCCAAACTGGCTTCTCTGAGTGTTGGACAGATGAGATTTTTCTGTCTTGTTCTTTTTGTTTTTTTGCTGTGTTTTTAACTTGTCTTTGCTGGATTATAATGTAATGGAGCTCTGTTCACCCATTACATCTAATGAAACATCTATGGATCTTGAGAAATGAGCTCTAAAATGATACATATAACTCATAAACCAGCGTTTGTGAGTCTTCAGAGTTGTTGGCTGCCCTTTCCCTGATCGTATCTCTTTACAGTTCCTGGATGGAGGGAAAATTTGCCCTGATAATCCTCACTGCAGATCTAAATGTCCATTACAGTATGCAACCGTTCTTTCTTATGAATGGATGGATCTGTACAGTAAAGACTGAATAATCTAGGTACACTGTATTATGATCAGCTCCTATAGAACATTGCATTTCTAGAGTTGTAACACGGGGTACAGTCTCTTTTTGGCCTTCTTCCAAAAAGCGTCATATATATATTTATATGAGGATCATCTCAGGTTCTGAGAAAACATCGGTTTCTAGAAACCCGAAATATTCCACAACAGACACACTGTGGTCAGTTCTCAGTTGTTCCCTATCAAATCCACTGTGTTGAGCTGGTTGAGCTCCCATTGGTTCTGACTGAGCCCAAAATTACTTATCATAATATAATATGAAATCATAAATCAAGATTACTTATGTACCAAATTTTAATAGCAGGACAATTCAAAGTGCTGTAAATGAAAAAAAAACATCCAACAGCACAGAGAAAAGTGCATTGCTATGGCATAGTGGAAGAGAAAATGAAAAAATATATAAAACTGAGTATTAAAAGGAATTAAAATAAATGTAGGAGTAAAAAAAAATGACTACAAAAAATAAGTAATAAAATGCTTAACAGTAAAATGACCAGGCAAGGCAAGGCAAGGTATTTACAATATCAATTAATTGTCAATATAAACTAAAAACCTTTTTTTGAACTTATGTAAGTTTCAAATGTTTCTCCCAGGTGAGAAGGCTACTTCCTCGAACTCTCCTTCCATCATGTTATTAATCAGTAATTAATCGTAATTAATAAGTATCCAATTTGCTCAAACAGAGAAGAACTTCAGTCTTCACTGTTGTCAACATTTTATCCTGTTTTAAACATTCCCATGTCTGAAAAAAGTGTATGTTATCTGAAAATTACAACAGCCACGTGGTTTTTTAGGTTGAGACAACAGGCTATATTTTGTATAGCAGAAAATTGCTGTTTAGGCACTTTGAGGAGCCAGGGATATTCGAAGACATTCTTTAAAGTGATGTATCTTCGTGTGTATATATTTTTTTATATAAATATTTGTTACACTTAGGCACAGAAATGACAGGGATGTTTTTTTTTATTTTACCACGTGGGCGTAATATGCTTGCCGTGCTCATCAAAACCCATCAGGTCTACGCTCCCTTGAGTGTTTGTGTGTTCATGTTCATATGTGTGTATGTGTTTTCCCCTCTGCTGGCATTAATTTTGTTTGGCTCTAGCCAGATGGATTTGGCGGGGTTCGTTATGGTGAGTTTGGCCTGTGACAAGCTAGGAAATTAAGTAATTATATCCTATCGAATCAGTAAGTTAAGAAGAGGGAACATGTACTGAGTGTTTGAGGAGGGAGAATTGGCCAGAGAGGAGAGGTGATGAATATTGTGAAGGGAGATGAGGGAGAGAGACAACTCACTGGGGATAGGATTCGAGGGGGTCAGCGGGAGACTAGAGCTAAAGACAAAAGAGAGCGAGGGAGTGTGTGACAGAGGTGGAGAGGTGATTTTCTGCTCCGTCGTCTCTTTTCAGAAGGGATTAGGAGGACGGAGCCGCTGGGTGACAGGCAGAGTGGGGGATAACAGGTAGGTAGGAGTGGAGGAGAGAGAGGGAAGGGAGGCTAGAAATGAAAGGAGGGGAAAGGAAGGGGGGAGGCTCTTTGATGATGCATTGTCTCATGGAATTATGTGAGGAGTTTGACAGCCTCTCTGACTTTGAGGAATCAGAAGACATATGGGTCTGTCTGCTGAGTGCTGTGGCTGGTGTTTGCATTCCTAAAAGCACAAAAAAAAACAGCAATAGCTTAAATGTCACAAGTTTTTTTTATTAATATTATTTATAAATTTATAGAACTTCAACTAAGATTAACAAAATGTTCTGAGATTTCAATGTAGAGTTACTTGGATCCATCCATCCACCTTTCTAGAGTACCTGCTCACAAAGAAACATAATATATCGTAATAATTTAATATGGCCTTGATTATTATATTTATTGCTTTATGGAGGTCATTGGAATTGTATTCTCAGACTTTTGCAGCTTTAGATATATTGTGCAGTTTGTAGTTACAAAGAAGAAAAGTATAAAGGAAGTATCTGAGCAAAATAAAAGAAAGAATCTACAGCAGTTGAACCATAAATGCTTTGCTTTTTCTTTTTCATTGTTGAGGTTTAAATCATAAAAGCTGAAACTTATGAAAAAGCAATCCGATACAAGCCTTATTCAGTTCAAATTTACTGAATAGATACATTTCATTTTGGGGTGGGGCAAGTTTTAGAACGTTTTTCTTTGTTAATAAAAATGTTTGTATGGCTGCTGCACTCTTACCCCCAACCTTCATTTACATGCATTCCCATGCAGCGGGTTTTTTGTGCATAGACACGATTTATACATAAGGCTCCAGCTGTTATCTCAGAGCATCACTGATTAAGACCACTTCTAAGAATATTGCTGAAAAAGTTGAATGCCTTGAAGCAAAATATCCTGGGGCTTGGATTATAAGGTTCAAAAACTGATGCTTGGGTGAATTTATTCACAGTCTGCGCTACTTTTTGCTTGACTGCTAAGATGATGTAATGTAAATTTAGACAACCTCCTTGCTCGTTTAGGCTTTCCTCTTGTAACTGACTTTATGTGCACCAGCAGCATCAATAAACCTTTTGTTTAAAGGGTTGCAGCAAATTCATGACAGGAAAATACAAGTCAGATCACAAGACAAAGAAAAACAATGTCGCTTGTTTCAAATAAATTCTGTTTGAAGATTTGATGTTTTTTCCCAATTGAGATTTATCCCTGTGAGACAATGACGAAAACAAAAAACTCCAGGGATATGCTGGAGAGAAACCAAATTCTTTTAATTTCTTCACTTCTTTTTTTTAGAAGAAAATGTTAATTATTGCTTTATGTGATGCTGTAATGAAAACAGTATCTACACCAAAGTAGTATGCCATAAAGATCTAAGCTAAATGCATTTGACATGTATGTGGACAACCCAGCACAGAAAAGAATAGTGGAATTCTTCCAGGGTACTATGACACAAGATGCAATTTATTGTATGAATTATAAATGCAGCAAAAATAAAAACAACTTTGGGGTAATACTAAAGTAGCAATATAGTTTTGGTCCTGAAATTACTCAGCAAGTTTCAACCTTCAGACCACACTACATCAAATATATAATTGAGAATAGATCCGAAACAATCAATTGGATTAATCTTGATTAATGAAATAATCATCAACTAATTTAGTAATCAAGTAAACATAAAATGGAGCATAGAGACTCTAAAACATGCTTTTTAGTTGACTGACCAACCCATTTAGAGCAGTAATTATACGAATATTGTAAAATAATATATATATATTCGGCATTTAAGCCAAAAAACAAAAAAATTCTTCTGCTGATATGCTCTATCCAGAACTTCACATGTCAGAAAGTTTTAGTTTCACCTGGTTTAATTCTGTAAAAAAACTTCTTTATGGAACACTTTGGTATCCAATTATTAATCAAAAAAATAATCAACAGATTAATCGATTAGCAAAACCATCTTTAGTTGCAGCGCCAGTTAAGAACATAATTGAATATATATATATTCTATAGGCCTGTTTTCTTATACATTTGTGGTACAAAAACTAGTATTTCAGTAAGCGGTTGTTTTTAGTTACACGAATAATAAAATAAAAAAGGTGATATCATGAATGTATATATGATGCTAGACTTGTTTTATGTGACATTTTTCATCTTGGCAAAAAAAAACAAAAAAAACAATATTATATAGGTCAAACAGAGTAGTAGCTTAAAGTTTTTCTAAGAAAAACACGCACTAAAAGTGACTGTTGTGAAATTACCTTTCTCAAGAAGAATCAACAATATCAACTAAGCGAACAAGGATATCATCGCAATGACTTTCTTTATTACCTGCATGCTTTGTAATACAGCAGAGTAGTCTGCAGCATGGTATTAGAGTCTGGGATTCCTTACTTTCATATTCTGTGAAGACTGTGCTTTTATGCAGAATCATGACAGGAGCTGAAAGAATATGATGCAATTTTTCTATTATTTTTGCTGGGCCGTTTTCCTCCACACATGTTGTGCACTAAATTGAAGTGATGATACCAGAGAACAAAAAAGGGAAAGCAAGAATACTTTAGAGGCTGTCAGATGAGCTTTTCAGATCACATCAGTCTCAGCGCTCTACAGACACTATAAAGCAGACATTCTTCCCTTCAAGATCCATGAGTGGATGGTAATCTGTGGGTGTGCGGATGTGTAAGTATTTTTCTGACCTATCTTCTCCTTGTCTTTTTTTTTTTTTTTTTTTGCAGGCCTCTCCGGCTGCTTTGGCTAAGAGTGTTCTAGCAGAAGTCCCGAACCAAGTGGTGGATTACTACAATGCGAAAGGAATCAAACCTAAGTGTATATCGGACTACGAGTCCTCAAGAACCTTCAGCCCCTGACGATGTATTACATGCAACATATTTCTAATCAAACACTCATATAAATATATAAGTTTCAGGGGTATAATGATAAATCCAGTTGACGAGATTAGATAAGATGACACATAATCTGTTCACAACAACGAGGTGAGACAATATTTTGGTAATAGTCTTGGAAATCAAATTTTCTGCATAAAGCAACACTGTATAACTTTTGGCCCAATTATCAGCTTAATTAAAGGATTTTTTTAGGTCAATATAAATATTCAGTATAGCATGTATCTAACTCCAGAGGGTTGGATCTGATGTGATTCAAAGCAGCGCTTTACGGCAGTCTGAGCTCTGTATAAATCTGAGCATTAACAAAGATGAATTTTGTTGCTTAGCAACAAAGACATACTTTTGTTTCCCTGTTGAGAGGTCAATGCGGCCTTGTCTTTAAAGGTAACTAAGGGCGCTAAACCTGGAAGTTGCAGGTCTAGCACCCCTAGTGGCTAATTGTTACCCAGTGTTTCTTCTTACGTTTGAAGTTATTATGCTTGTCTAATTATTTGAAGATATGGCACCTTGAAAAATTAAATTGCTTACTTTTTGTGCTTTTGCAATTGAATGAAAGTTTTATTAATCCTAATTAGATTTTACAGAATCTCCATCCGGTGTAGAAATATCCATTTCTGGTTTGAATTTTTCAAGTATTTTAGATTTTGATCTAGAGATGAAATGTAATCTGTATTTTCCTTTTATTCTCTAAGTCTCTAAGGTGCTGTCTCACAGATTCCTACCTTGCCATGTATGTCCGGTATCTAAACCTGGGTTTTACGAAGGTGTTATTTCATTTAATTAAGTAGATTTCATGAAACAATAAGTCCTGTCATGCCTTTGAAGTATGAATGTCCTTTTTTGATACCTTTCTGGTTTTAATAGTATGTACTGGGATCAAGACTGTTGAATTCACAGTGTATAACTGCAATATGACATAGTGGGTTATATTTTACATTAAATCATTGTGTAGTTGTGAGGTGTTTTTAAATTCAAAGATCAACCCTTAGGGAAATAAATAACAATTCTCTATAGGTGACCAAAGGTGGCCAGATAAAAATTAGCTGCAATAATGAGAAAATAGTCTTGTATAGTATTTTGCATCATTAATATTATGTTATTTTTTTCAATATGTGCTTACAGATACAGAGCTACAAGTGCTCTGAAGGTGGCATACAATTACTCCATACAAGGCATGTTAGAGCTGTTGGTATCATGCTTCATGATTATTTGACATATCTAAAAAAGTTTGGCTTCGCTGGTAATCAAGTAATTTAGTCTGTAGAATTACATGTCTAACAATGCCCGATTAGAGCAATATTAGGCTCTGGCAGCTCATCCTTCTGTGCCATGAAAACACAAGGCAATAAACCTATACTGTAACTGGGGTATGAAGTTTAGGTCCAGTAGGAACCTGTGAAGCAGACGCTAAATGGGCATCGTTAGTGGCAGTTAGCCAGATGGGGTATAGCGACACTGCTTTAAGAACTTGTTTGAATCTTGTCTCTTATTGTTCTTATGTTCTTTTGTGGAGCTAAAACCCTTTGAGAGAAGTTATGTCATCAATGGTCTGGGACCAAACATTTCAGGCAAGCCTGCCAAGCAACCTTTTTGTTAAAACATCAGTTCATAACAACAACTACTTCCTGTCTTACTTCTAACCAATACTCTCAAATATAGACATCACAGGGTTTCAAACTTAAAGCGCTTTTGGACATATCCAGGGCTCCTGATATTGGCTCACATTTACAAGATCATAGAAAAGCACTATGAGAAGCTAGCTTCTGTTTGATGTAAAATATGTCATGTTTTTATTCAGCTGGGAACTGAAAAGGGCATTGATAAAATGTCTTAGTAAACAGGAACAGGTTGCAAGCATCAAGGTGAGAACAAGAGAGGAGTAACTTAATGAGGATTTATACAGGTGAATTTGGAAAACTGAATACTATACAGGGGTGTAAATCAAAGATAAAGTACAACCCTGGGGTTGCATAAAGTGAGTGAATGGTTGCTTGTTTCTGTGTTGCCCTGTAATGGACTGGCGTCCTGTCCAGGGTGTACCCCACCTCTCACCCGTAGACAGCTGGAGATAGACACCAGCACCCCTAGCAACCCCGCTTGGGATAAAGCATGATGGGAAATGGATGGATGGGAAATGATTAACAAAACAAACCATGCATCCACAAAAATTACTGAACTAGAGTCAAGGTCCAACAAATCATGATGTTTTGATGTTGCAAGATTTCGTGACAAGATAGTCTTACACCCCTGATAAGTTATATAAAATGCATCTAAATATTGTATAGTATATATACATGCCTAAAAGCACAAAAAACATGAACAAATACATATACACAACAATACAACATATGGTAGTCTAGCTCAGAGCATTAGCTTGTCATGGTAAAGCAGTTTTAACTACTTTGTAATCGACTATTGCATGTTTGGCCACAATGGCATCACCTGGGAAACTATTGCTATATATTGTATATTTGAAATGTATTTGTAGAAATATTAACAGTATTCAGAATGGGCATGCATAGTTTGACTATTTTCCAACTGATAGAAATGACACTTTTACCTTATTTATATAACTAGCAAGTATACAAACCTAAAGATCCCACAATATTTGTGGGGAAAACTGAATATAAGCCTGAAACCCCGCCCCCTCATCCTTAATATTAGCATTTCAAATGTTATTTATGGAGCAGGGTGCATTCGATTTAGTGTACTGCATGAAAGCATGCATAATTCAGCTCCCGCTAATATCCAATCTCGAGTAGCCCCTTGCTAGTTATGAAATAAAGTATCTCTGTCATTTATGTGAAGCAGTGGGGTATTCTTGGGCATTTGGGGGTTCTTTTTCTACAGATTTGCTTGTGATTTTGCTAAATGGGAATTAATAACTAATTAATAGTTGTAATAATTTCTTAATAACCTTCTTACATTGTAAAGAGTTTTGGGATGGTAGACAACTGTGTGTTATAGACTCTCATTTGTGAGCTGGAAATTGTTTCTTTCCTCTGTATCCTGCATGTTGATAATAATAAAGATGCTTTGGGTTTCTCATTTTTGTGTAACGGTTTCTTTTTAGTGAGTGCATTTTTGTAAGAGGGAGAGAGAGAAGGAGGATATTTTTGTTATTGAGATAGAATTCTTAGCCTTAGAGAATCACACAATGTTTGTTTACTTGTTGGCTCTGATATCTCTTAAGAAAATGTAGTGCAATCAGCTGCTTCAATAATCAAAATAATCAAATAATCAAATTGGTAACAAAATTCCACGTCAATCAAGTTTATTTTAAGTATGAATACAGCTGCCCCATGGAGAATATAACATTTTGTTAGGGGAATTATGAACCTACATTTTTTAACATCTCAAAATGCTTTAACCTATCATCCCAAAATTAAAAGACTGTGGCACAAACTCACAAAACGTACGGTAGCAACCAGCTAACTTACCGGGCAATCAAGAGCAAAACTGGAAAATAAAACAGGGCAAGAGCCAAACAGTTACCAATAGTTCAAAAGGAAGAATCTTCTCAATGGAAATTTTTTTGTTACTAAAAAAATCTGAATTATTTTTGTATTTTTGAAAAAATTGAAAGACGGCAAAAACAAGTATATTTTTCCAGATCCGATGTCAGAAACATGGTAAATGCAAAGAATTTTACTTGTGAAATATCAAATCATATTGGTTTTTGTTCCTCCTTTAATATTTTTAAACCGATTGCTTTGCCGTGAATATGGCACAGAATTCTTAAGTTTATTCTCCCGAGTGTGGCACAAGCACCTAAAAGAAGGACTAATCAGAAACAGAAAACTTTGCAGCCAAGTTGTGTCCTTGGACAGAACAGATTTTGTAGCTGCCCTTTCTTTCATAAGGGAGCAGTCATATTTGCCAAGATGCCCTCATACACACCTGCTGCCAATGCTGAGTAACCTCTGCATGTCTGCAGCATGATTTTCCTTGTGTGTTTTATTCCAAAGGAACACCTGTCTGGATTTATTCAACAAAATCAGTAGCAAGGTTATTTTAAGTGTCATGAAAAGAAACAGTTCTTGGGGTGGAAAGCAGACTCCTGAAATGTGTGTGCTCTTTTCTAAAACTAAAGGCTTATAAAGCTGTTTGCAATTAGTTCATATGGAAATGATCACTGAAAAACTGTCAACTAATATTGTGAGATTTCAAGAGAAATGACAAGTCATTTAGAAAAATGCCTTTGATAAAACTACAAATACTACAAAACTATCTGTTTAAATTGAAACATCTTTTTTATTTATAGTTCCCCAACAATATTTGTATTGTTCTCCATAGGACAATGACATAATTAATAGTTACACCAATCTGCATGGGGAACATTGGGTGTCATTTAGTTACACTCCCAAATGATCAAATTTAGGAGGAAAGTGGCATACTAAAGAAATAACAATCTTTATCCTTAGAAAACGAAATAATCTAGAGCTAACTCTAAATACTACATAGCTAAATATTCATTTTATGTTTTTGCAAGTCAGAGGTAAATACTTAAACTTCTGTAGTACATTTCAATTGCGAGGCGGAACCTTTGTCATCAGTCGCAGTGTTGCCGAATTATTTTGATGTCGTACCAGAAGTTACAAGGGTGACATTTGGTGAAGATACGACGGCATGCGTTGTCACAGTTACATTGGTAGCTTCTCTTCTTAATTTAGTTTTGCTAGTGTCATATTTATACCTTGCTGTGGAGAATATAGATGACAATGACGACGTGGGGATGTCGGCTCTTTCTCCAGCGGGGAGCTCAGCTTATTTCCCCCCAGGCAGCAGCTAAAAGGTAAAAATGCTAACTAGCTAATTGTGCTAACGACTGATTCCAGACAGATTTGAATGGTTCTCTCTTGTTAGTAAAAAAAATAATAGCCGTTCCGTTTCTACATCAACACTAAGGATGGTATTGTATAAACGCTTCTTCATATTACTGATCATAGTCTTTGGTAAGACAGCATTGTATATTAGGCGCTGGTATATTAAAATATCATTTCTAAATTACATCTTATTGCTATCATAGTCAGTTTTTTTCATTGAGCAACTGAAATAAAAATAAAAAACATAGCAACAAAATGATAACTTTCCTCCTCTAAGAACATAATAGTTTAATCTGGAATGCAGCTATATCATCACAAAGTTAATCAGCTATTAGATTAACTTAAGTACTGGTTTTATGTCTTTTGATATGTGATATTTTTATTCTCACTCATAATTTTAACAGTATTTGCACTGGGGCTGCAACATTCGACTATTTTGATCATAGATTAATCCGTAGATTATATATTAGTAAAAGAATCCTAAAAAAAAATTCTTGTACAGAATTAAAACTTTCCCACTTGTTCTGGATAGAGCATATTGACATACAAAAAGTTTTTTTTTTTAATTATCTTAAATGCAAAATATGTATATGTTTTTTTTAAACCAATTTTGGTGAAGTTTCTGTTCTAAGTGGGTCGCTCTTTCAGCTTAAAGCATGTTTTAGAGTCTCTACACTTCAGTTAACAATTCATCCATTAATAAATTAGTTGATGATTCTTTACAAAAATGATTAATTTGTTTCAGATTAATTATTTCAGCTCTAATTTACACCCTGTTATTTTATATGTTTATTGGATAAATCAGATCTTGCATGAAGCCATGGTGGGATAAAGTGCTCCTTTAAGCATTTCCCAGACCTTTCTCTTTCTTTTTTTTTTTTATCAGTTTTGGAGAAATGTTGAACCTTTTCACTTTTACTAATGTCACTCTGGAGGGTAGAAAAAATTTCATTGGGTTAACCGATTATTGAAATAGTCAGCAACTAATTTAGTAACTGATTATTTGTTAAATGAATAAAAAGTAAAGACTTCATGAGGCTATAAAAAGAAAAACTAAACAAACTCAGAACAGCAATTAGGGCAAAGCGCCACAAATACTTCCAAATATACTTTTTACATTAGAGAGGAAAAACATTTGTCAGTAAATATACTCTATGAAGAACTTAGTTTTGTTTTCATCTGATTACAATAAAAAAAACGTGCTCTAAATTAGGGCTGGGCGGATATGACGTCCTCAAATCAATATCATGAGTTTTACCTCCATAACGATAAATGCACCTGCTCCTATATCAGAAATAAAGGCATATGCTGAAAATTCAACTGCTCTATTTATTATTTATTTATAAATAAATAACACTACATATTACTTTAAATAGAAATTTAAAGTATTGTACCCATTCAGGTTTAAATATTTAACAATTTCTCATTGAACAGGAGATAAACATTTTTGCGCAAAGGTAATGGGGCCTGTTGCAGATCTTTGAAGTCAACAGCGTGGCCGTGCTGTAGCTGTTGGAGGTTGGATAAGTTACTTTGTTTAGTCCCAACAGTTTTCAGGCAAACTTTGCATTTCGTGTTCTTTCGCTCATCATCTATGATGTAATTTTGGTGCCACCAAACTGAGCGTGCAGTGAGAACAATGTGCGTTTAAACTCTTACACCCCCACTCAAAACAGGTCTGCCGCGCCCTCTGATAACGCGTTCTCGACTTCTTCTCTGCATGCTCAGCTTCTTCTCTGCTGTCGCTCGGTGATGTGATTTTGTTTACAGCTGTGAGACGCTTCTTCACTGGGCTTGTCTGCCATTCTCTTTTTTTATGCTTCTGAATGGATCGGTGAAGTCTTGTGATTCCACACATGCTGCAGTGTCTTAAAGGGGAAGGAACGACCAGACACTAGCGCACACAGAAAAAAACAGCAGAATTAAGTTTATTAATCTTAGCGACATGGGAAATTTTTCACCGGTTATCGTAGTGAATGACGGTAATGGCAGAAATCTGGTTTATCGCAATTCAATTAAGTTTAATTATATAGCACCAATTCACAACACGTTATCTCAAGGCACTTTACAGTTCACCAGATCATCCAGTCAAATTGATTCAAAGTTTTTTATCTAAGGGAAACCAGTTGATTGCATCGACTCATTGACTTGGATGCAATCCCTCACACTGAGCATGCTTTTAGTGACAGTGGAGAGGAAAAACTCCCTTTTAACAGGAAGAAACCTGCAGCAAAAGCAGGCCCAGTTTTAGCGGCCATCTGCTGAGGCTGACTGGGTTCAAGGAGACAGAAGCAGAGATACAAAAAGCAGTTGCAAAAGGCGGCCCCGTCCAGGAAACACACAGCCAGGCAGACGAGCTCAGAGCCAGCTTCCATGTCAGAGGATGAAGAGAGCACATCTAGCCAATCACAGTCAGAGAAACAGGACCACACTGGAAAAACAGTCAGATTTTGGTGTGAAGGCACAGCCCTACTATAAAGCACCTTTTGCTGTCTGATTATAAATTAACTAATTGAATAGAATATTAATCAGAAAAACCAATCGGCAAAATAACTTGCATCCATAGTGATTTTTTTAAACAGTTGTTAGATTAGATTATAAATAAAAAAATGGCACCTTTGAAATGAGTTGTGAAAGGCAAAAACATATATAAATATGTAAAAAAAAAAAAAGAAATCTATATCACAATTGGCGCAATCTGAATCAGATAAAGCTAAAACTTCTCCAGAAGGTTTTTTTTTCTATTGTACCTTTGATTTAAAATGTGACAATAGATGCTGTAACCTGAAAATGTCTCTTATGTAGTTATCTCTCTTGGTTAGTTTTGATACATTTATATGATTACATCATAACCATAACATAATAATCATAACCATATACATTATAATAGTGCTTCAGGAGCTGGAGGCAGTAGTAGCAGCTCAACAACTGCTGCTTACCTTATCAAAGCTGCACTTTAAAAATGAAATTGTCTAGAGAGCTGTTCTAAACAAAACTTATTTTTGTTTACACTTGTGTATAAAAAAATGACAAAATAAATCTGTCTAATTCTAAGTCATAACCACAATTAAATGGAACTGTAAGAGTAGGAAAGGGAAACTTTAAAATATAATAATTTAACCAAGAGGGAAAAGTTGTGATTGCATGTAAGACGAAAAGCACGTCTAACATTAGAAAGCATTCATCAGCTCTAAAAAGGCAGCTCTACAGTTAGTAGAGAGGGCTTGTGTAGCTCCGCAGCAATGACTCACGTGTACAGTATATCCTTTGGTGGCAAACTGTGCCGACACATTTATTCACACTAAACTATGAAAAGCTCAACTTGTTTGCAATCTCTCTTCCACGTCTTTACTTTTGTAATGAGCTCAAACAGACGAGCACAGGACTTATTCACAGTTTAGAAAGATAAAGGATTCTTACTAATGCAGTTTTTCTCATTAGTATGTCTGAGAGCCTATTTATAGGAAACCATCCCTAAAAAGCTTGGAAAGGCAGCTATTATGCCAGTCCTATTAGTTGGTAATCAGTGGATAAAAAGTGGCAAAGATGGGGTTTCAGCAGTTCTGTGTCTTGTGAGGTAGAATATTTGTATTAAAAGAAACAAAGATATTTACATTGGGATCAGTTTAAAACCTATTGTTCTGTAGAAATATATATTTTTCCCCAATTTGCTTCTTATTTCTATCAATTGTTCCTCTTAGAGGCCTTTTATTTTGCACTCTTGCTTTAGGACAACTGCAGGTTGACTTATCTTGCAGAAATTGCCTTCAAACCAAAATCTAAAGCCATGGTGAGCAGTTCTGATCTTAAAGGGGCGGTGTCGTGGATGCTTTACAGGTTTTACTGATTTCGGTTTTACAGATTTAAAACCATCAGCAGGCTTCTACAGAGCTTGGTTACAGAGATAGATAAAGTATTTAAATTAGCTGTGCTGCAGTAGGGACTTTTAACCAGCCAATGACACTGGAACTGCCCACCTTTGGTTTAAGAGTGGTTGTCTAATCCTGATTTGTGATTTTTGATTAAATTATGTTTATGAGGCTTTATAATGATCTATTTCTAAATGTTATAAGTGTCAAAACTGTTTTGTGGGGACAATAAAGTTACCATAAACAAATGAAAGTTGGATCTTTACTAAGCCAATCACTCCGATAAGTTAATTATACCTTGATTTATAATAACAATGTTTTTACAGGAGCATAAGAAATGAAACTAAGACTTAAAGAAAAAGAAAGAAAAAATGCAATAAGCAGTAAAATATAATTGGCTAAGCTACTTTTCTGTTTAAATCATTGTTTTGTTTTTGATTTAAAAATGCCTTTTTTTTGAGTGATGAAAAATGTCATACTTTGCAGATTTTGCTATTTTTTTCCACTCGCAAACTTGACCAGGTCTTTAATTGTTGTCATAAGTACTCCTCAATTGTGAGTGACGAAGTCTAAAACAAAAATCCAGAAAGCGGCATTTTTTTTTCTTCAAATATTTAATTTCTAATTTATTGCATGACATAAGTATTTGATACATCTAAAAAAATACTTAAGTGAGACTTCCTCCCAGCCAGTAGGTGGCAGACTTTTTTCCAACTTTCCAACCACATGCTTAACAGGTTTGCTAAATTAGTAAACATTTAACTTACCTGTTCAGAGGGAAAGCAGCAACTTCACGGGGCGTTTGAGTCCCTTTGCCAAAGGAAGCAAAGGGACTCCTATCTAAAGTTCACCCACTCATTTTTGGTCCACTTGAACTTGAATCTTAACGCAGAGAAGAAGCTGATCTCAGATTTACCATGGAGCAACTAGGAATTGTGAATGCCTGGGCTTACAGGACTTCAATCTGCGTGACTCAGTCTAATCGTTTTGATTAAAAATATGTTGCTATGACAAACTGTTGTTTGCATCACAGATATCAGGCATTTTGTGTAGTTCTTGATGAGGTTTGCACACATTGCAGCAGTTATTTTTGTCCGCTTCTACCTCCTTGAGATACCTCAGGGTTTGGGGTAGTTGCTGGGCAATATGGAACTTAAGCTCCCTCAAAAATGTTCTATTAGGTCCAGGCCTGGAGATTGGTTAGGCTAGTCCAGGGCCTTGAGGTGCTTCTTATGGAGCTACTCCTTAGTTGTCCTGGCTGTGTGCTTTAGCTGGTTGTCATACTGGAAGACTCAGCCGTAATTCATCCTTAATGCCCTTGCTAAAGGAAGAAAGTCGTTGTCTAAGATCTCCCAATACATGCCCCCATTTTTCCCTCAACAGAGTAGTTGCCCTATCCCCTGTGCAGAAAAGCTTCCCTCAAAGACTGATGCTTCCACCTCCATGCTTTGCAGGTGGGATGGTGCTCTTCTGTTCTTCCTTCTCCAAACACGGCTAGTGGAGTTTAGATAATACATGACTTTCTCCTAAGCCACCTCTGGATCATCCGGATAGTCATTGGAAAACTTCAGATGGGCCTGGACATGCTCTGGCTCGAACAGGGTAGCGGTGCCTACACTGCAGGATTTTAATCCATAGTCCCAACTGTCTTTAGGTCATTGACCGGGTCTTACCATGTAACTCTTTGCTGATGCTTCACGTTTCTGTGGATTGTTGATGCAGTGCAAGATAAAATCTTGCATGAAGCCCTAGAACAAGTTAGACTGACAAACATCTCAAACTTATTCTGATTTCTTTAAAGTGAGCCAACAGTTGATGCCTTCTCACTACCTGCTTGCCTATTCTCTATATCCTATTGTGGCCTTACAGGTCTTCTATTTTATCTATACACAGATTTATGGTCTTAGCCATTGTAAAGAGGTGTACCTCATGCACTACATTAAAATTCCTAATCTGGTTTAGCGATTGTGTTATTATGTGCATCCCACTGCTTTGAGCCTAGAATTAATCATTCTTTTATTTTGTCTTTTTCAGCCCTGTTCCTTTGTTGGGTTGTATCAGGACTGTAAAGACCACCACATGGTTTGAGGAAAACCTTACAGAGGACAACCAGAAGTACATGAGAAACCTTGTAGGAGAGGAATACAGAAATCAGACAGCCGAGAAGCTCAACCCTCTCAAGGATGAGCCCTGGCCGCGGCAAGAGTGGACAGAGGGTAGATGCTCGTATCATTTATTGCCTTCTCTACCAGAAGGGCTGTTGCTGTCAGTTTTGCACCTTCATTATAATTTTATGTCTTTGCAGGAAGTCGCAGAGTTGGATTAGTTGCTATCAAGTTGGGGATGGCTCCTATCTGGACTAAAACAGGAGAGAGACACCCAGTCACGATGTTGCAGGTACAACATGAGTCTCTTTTAATTCCTGTTGTTTCTTCAGCTGATGAGGAGCAAAGATGAGCCTGAATGTTTGTCATTCAAAAACTCTCCATTAAAAGAACCTTCTGGTTTACTGACAGTAAAGGTGGATATGCAATAATAAAAGCATTTCTTCATGCTCTGTTTGATCGTTCCACCTACTGCTTTTGTGAAAGGTGTTTTCTGATTATGTTTAAAAGGCAGCCTGTTCTTTGGGGGCTGTTGGTGGGCCTTATTAGAGCAGTTTGGAAGAATTTTATTCAGACTGTCAGGATTATTCTGCACAGCTTTAAAGTTTACCAAGCAACTTAAAAATTAATAAGTTTTGTTTGAAGTGCAGTTTATCAGAGTACAGTGTCTATGTCTAGGTGTGCGGCACAATAAGAACATTTATTTCATTTAAAGTACATCTACAGTGCCTTGAAAACAATTTCAAACCTCCATTAAACTTTTTTTGCCTAGCTGTTTATTATAAGCACATATTTTCATGCATTTTATGAGGACATAGAGCAGAATTATGAAGAGGAGGGAGGCAGGGAAGTTGTGATCGATAATTATCCATTAAACATCTGCAAAGCGTGGCGTGTATTTGCATTTATTCCTCCTGAGTCAGTACTTTATGGGCTTCATTTTGCTGAAGTTTACAGCAACGAGTCTTGTTAAGCAGCTCAACCAGCTTTTTACATCTTCACACTATATTTCAAGCGGAGTCAGATCTGATGTAGAATGTCTGTGGACATTTATTTGCTACTAATTCTCAACTAGATTTTTTTCTAGACGTTAAATAGGCCATTTAAACATGTGGTTATACTTTTATCACAGGCTCCATGTTGACGGTCTCAATGTTTTTTTTTTTTTTTGTTACATTTTATTGCTTCTATAAGATTTCCTCGCAGGATTCTCCTTTATTTTTCTTCGTCCATATTTCCTCTGGCTTTAACCAGCTTCTCAGGCTCTGCTGAAGAAACTCTTTCCTACAGCATGATGCCACCACTACCATGTTTTATTGTAGGGAGGGTATATTCTAGGTAATGGCATTTTAGCTTTCAACCTTATATGAGGTTTTGAAAGTAAATGATTTTGAAAGGTATTCATCCAGCAGAGCTAAGAAGCTAATTTATCCATTTGAATCAGCTGCTTTGGAGGCTGGTCCCACTTAAACTTGCAGGATGAGCTTCCCTCTAGGACTGGAGTTGGATACTCCTGATGTAGATAAGTTAGATTTTACTGTCGTCTGACTGTAATTAGGGTTGTCACGATACTAAACTTTTCAATTGATACTGATACTAAGGAAAATATTCTATACTCGATACCATTTTCGATACCACAAGGATAAAAACAAAGACTCCAAAATTCTACAGAAATATTTTCATTAATAAATAAAATATGATAAATAAATACAATAAAGGTTGTATGCTGTGCACAATATTAAGCAAGCTTGATAAAAAACTTATATAATTAAAATTAAGTGTTCCTTCCTTAGCTATGCTTTGCACACATAACAATGATACTAGCCAAACCGGTTAAGAAACAAAATTCATTCTCAGCAGCTGCACCTCTTACAAAAAAAATCTGAAACTGAAAACTGCACAGAATTATTCAATCACAGTGTTCAGAAAGTGCATGTTTCACTATTCTGCACTTTAAATGAATGATTGCTTAGGTGCCACTGGTGGTGGCACTGAATCTTTTAGAAACGAGTATTGTATCCGGATACAAAATTTCAGTATCAATACTTTTTTGAGAATCGATACTTTTGACAACCCTAACTGTAATACCTTTCACTCTTCCACTCTTTATGACATTTATTTATTTTTTATTATTTATTTTTTTATTTTAACAGGGACAAAGCACAAAAATACTTTAAGAAAGAAGAGATGTCATGTGCCAGTTTATAGCAAAAAATGCTAATTTCCATCCACAGTCTTGGACAGGTTGATATTAAACTTACAAAAATTCATAAAATATATACAGAATAATATATGTAAGCATCACTTCATTCACATAATAAAAACACTCTCCACCCTCACTCACTCACAGTTTACAGTGCTTATATTACAGTCATTGGGTGCATACAGGTTTGCTTTATAATAACCCACATTTGGTCAGGTGTGTAAATATACTATAGTTTATGTATAAAATAATTTCGTTTGAAAGAGTATTTCAAAGGCTTGTTGTTTTATAAGCGAACAATTGTTGACCAAATGCTGCACTCTCCTCTCGCTGTCGAATTGAGTGTGATACATTTTCTTATCATTATGGATTATTTTAAATAGAGCAGAAATTTGATTATATTTAATGAGAGTTTCAAAACTTAAAATGTTTTATTTTGTACCTTACAGTGATGGTGCTGGAGAGGCTTTTTATCATGATTTTTTTCAGTTCATTAAGTTACATTTCCATGTATTACCAATTCTTTTGATATGATTTTTAAAACCAAGGTTTGAATTAAGAATTACACCTAGGTTCATTTGAATTAAATATTAGAACATTGTTTACTTTACATGTTTAATTTTTTTATTTATTTATGTTTGTATTGAGCATTGAGACAGTTTTATTAACGTTTAAAGTCAGGCAAGAGGTCTGTAACAATTCTGTAAGTTTTTGCATTTCTTTTATTAATTTGTCAGCAACCTCCAGCTCTTTTTCCCTAAGGTAAAGATCAAAGTATCGTCAGCATACATGATTACATCACGTCATAGGGAGGTCATTTATATAGATGCGAAAAAGCAAGGGTCCTAAAATAGAGCCTTGCGGTACTCCCATTGAGGTGGCTCTAGACGCAGATTGGATGTTATCCACTCGTACGCACAATGTCGGTCACTCAGATAAGATCTTATCCAGTTTTCGGTGTGCTCAGAGAGACTGTATTGATTCAATTTACTGTAGAGTATCTGGTCATTGACAGTGTCAGAAAACTCAAACTCAAAGATCAAGGAAAACTGCTCCCACCACCCTTCCCTGATACACATATTCCCTGAGAGTTTTCAGGAAGTAGCAATAGGCAGAGTCTGAGGATGCTTATTGGATGATAATTATTCATGTCTTGTTTGCCACCAGTCTTAAATATCGGGGTGACGATTGCAGGGTTTAGGGCTGTTGGAAAATATCCTCACTAATTGATTGATTGTTGTCAATGGATCAGAGAAGATGTCCTTATGTTGTTTCAGAAAGATAGTATCAAGTCCATAAATATATTTCTCTTTGCTGCTGTTAAGCACAATAATTCATTTTTCAACTTTTGTTTTAGTTATTGGACTAAAATTAAAATCAGATTTGTCACTGATTTTCAGTGCGGGATGAACAATTAGCAAATTCTGAGCCAGTTTTTGGAGGGAGTTTAAAAAATATTCATTAGAATTTGTTCTATTGCAAACGAGTAATCAATAATTCTTCCATTACTTTTGAGATGGATATCCTCACATTTTGACTTTTCTTTTTCAATTAATTTATCAATAGTTTTCCATATTATTCTACTATTACTTTGTGCATTACAAGAAAAAAATGAGACGCATTAAATACACATCTTTTAGCAATGACTTTCTTCTCTATTTTGTTACATTTTTCCTGTTGAGAGATCCTCCTGTTTGAACTGTGGATCTTTAAAGTCCCTGAGATAAATCTGTGCTCCAGGCATCTTCTCTGATTTATGCTGTTCTTAGGTTTATTTGTAATATATGTGATAGTGCTGCAGTTTAGTCATGCTCTTTCCATTTTAAGATGATGAATTGGAGTGTGCCATGTTTAATGTTGGAGATCGTTTTAGAACTTAACACTTAAATTTATCTACTGCTTTCTCCCTGATCTGCCTTGTTTGCTCCTTGGTCGTTTGGATGCTTTTTGTTCACCAATGTTCTCTAAATAAAACCCTCTGGGACCTTCGCAGAACAGCTGGATTAACTGAGAGTAAATGACACCATTGGGGATTTACTAATTATATTACGCCTGTGCAGATTCTCAGTCATCCGAGTCACAGCAGCCACAACAGGCTTAAATCAAAAGTCTGGCTGCTGTCAAATTTAGCCCATTATTATTTCTATTGGCAGCTTGTTTGCTCTGGGTTTCCTTTATAAGTGTCAGAATAAAGGGGACACTACACTATTAAGACATTGGTTTTTACCAGATAATTCACATTCAGACCTTGCCTATATTTCTGAGATATGGATCATAGCAGAAAGAGTTAGATCCTGGATACCAGCAGCTGAGATGAGCTGTATCCTGGACTCACACAGGGGATGGGATGAGGGGCTTCCTTTCACTGCAGAGAAGCTCTTAAAGCTCCTCTGCGGTGAAAGCAGTTGGTACATGTAGTTCTGTCATGAGTTCACTTTGGAGGGTTTCTGTGATGAGCTGTGATGGCTGCAGATATGACTGTCAGGGATGCTGGACCTGTCGACCCAGCAGACAGACATACTTATGGATATATTTTTTCTAACTACTTCATAATCCAATCCACTTTATTTATATAGCACTTTGGACAACAACATTTTTTTTCATTGTGCTGTACATAAAGGCAAACAAAAAACACACACACACACACATACACACACACACACACACACACACACAAATCAGTTAGAGTTTAGGAAAAATAAATAAAAAGGACACAGAGGATCAAACAATTATGCATTGTTAAAAGTCAATGAATAAAAAAGGGGCTTAAGGCTTGACCTAAAACACTCCACTGTGGAGGCTGTTTGCATATGGAGGGGCAAAGTATTCCAAAGTCTGGGCTCAACTAAAGAAAAGGCTCCGTCCCCTCTGGTTTTAAGGCTCGTCTCTGTCTCTCAGACCTCAGAGCAGGAGTAACTATTCCATTCAAAGCTTTAAACACAAACAATAAAATCTGAAAATAATTTCTAAAACGAACAGAGCACCAGTGCAGAGATGCAAGATGCTGCGTTTTGAACTAACGGCAGACCGGTGGGAGCTAGTTGGCTAATGCCTGACTGTCCATAACAGTAGAGCAGACAGAGTGTAAAACCTGCTCAAAGAGGTTAAAAGATGAAAACGGTTTTACCTTAGTTAAAGGTACACTATGCAACCGGTGTTGATTTTCCAGCGAGGCTCCCCCCAGAGGGCGAAAGTAAAAGTGCACTGTCGTAAATATGCACAGCTGTTCTCCTGGTTTCTCCGTCAAGCCAGGCGCGGTTGTTTTGAGCTTAGCAGCGAATGACTAATGCTGCGTTCACACTGGACGCAGCTGGCGCGACAGAAGCAGCGAGTTTACATGCAAAGTCAATGGTTGACGCGCGTCAAGGCGCAGCAAAAGGTCCCGCGGCGCGTTTTGAGCTGCAGGCGCAGCACGTCTGAGCAGCTGAAGCAGCGCGTCGGGCGCGTTTAACGCAGGGAGAGAGACACAGCGCTGATGATCACTCCTCTTAAACAGTTTATTGACGCCTAAATTAACTTAAAATGCAGAAATCTGCCGGCAGAATATGCAGTTTGGATTATTTAGATGAAAAAGACCTACCAGCTGCCGCGGTGAACCGCTGCTGATGAAGGGATCCATACTGTCGGCGCATCCCTGGTATGTGGGGGTCTGAGCGGCTCCGACAGAAAAAATATTGAAGGCAGGATAATAATCTGAATGAACTGACTGCACTGATTACGTTTTCAGGTGTATTTTCTCACTTAAAAACATATTAAAACTACTTTATTCCCACTGATCACAGCAAATATAGCTGCAAGGCAGAGAAAGGATAGTGAAGCTCCGCCCAACGCGCCTCAGACACTCTTTTGCACCGCACAGCCAGAGCAGCAAAGCTGCTTCAGCCGCGCGTCAGAACTAACTGGTACAAGCAGCAAAAAGGAAGCAGCAGACGCGATTTTGCTGCTTTTGCTGCGTGAACGTAGCATAACTGCACAAAGATTGCCACTGTGCTAGCAACGAGAATGCTTTTAACTGGGGGGTGTAGCAGTTCTCGCCGTAAAGCAAGACTGACTCTCACGAGACTTCTGAGCCTGTGGGTGCGGGTTGGTGCTCCTGCAGTTGCAAGTGCAGTATTTCCCCCACAGACCACCAGGGCGGCCGAGAATACCTTTGTTCAACCTGAAATGACTCATTTAATCATCCATCCATAACGTTATGGAACACATTAATTAACTGAAAAATGTTGCATAGTGTGCCTTTAAAAGACGAAGATGAAAAAAAAAAACATGCTTTTAAAATGCTGTTTGTTTATACAATTTAAAATCGGTGTTTATGGTGACACCAGGGCTGGTTACTTTGGAGCAGAAAATCCTTCAAAGGTCCCAAGTCATATATCAGTGTTAATTAGTGTCGGTGTATCATATAAAATATAAATTCTGACTGCAAAATTGAAAGAAAACCAATTGCACAGCATTAATACAGAGATGTCAAAGCTTATTCCAAATCTTTTCATTTTGTGATGTCTTATTATAACTGTATGCAAACGCCCAAAGAAACTGCTATCCTCTGCTGCATTTTCACTTCTAGGTGAATGTAAGTCATCACTTTCCTGCTACAACATAAAATCAGTTTAGGAATAAAATGCATTCTGGGGTTAAAAGTATTTCCATTATTATATTTTTGCAACTTATTTACTTTAATCATTTGGAATGGCAAAGTATTTCTTTAGTTTTGGAAAATAAAAATGTTAATCCTTTATACCATCTTCATTTAAAACATGGCATCCAGAGGTGCATGTGTGTCTTGATTTGATGTCATCCATTTAGATGAGACAGAATAATGTGGGAGTAAATTAACCCTGTGGATGAATATTAATACTTTACAGCAGGGACTTCCATCTAATTGCTTAGCTATTTATGTCTCCTGCTCATGAAGCCCAGGCTGTGCAGAGAAACTCCAATCAGGCTGTTTTCTAATCTGATGTGTTGCTGACCTCGCCTTTCTGATTATTCTTTTTTTTTCTTGCTCTAAAATGTCTCCCAGGTGCAAGATTGCCATGTATTAAAGTTTCTCCCTAAAGAGGAGTTCGATGGACACTCTGCAGCTCTGGTTGTAGGAGGGAAGAATGTGTCACCGTTCCATGTAAGTGTTGGAAGTCATCAGGATTGCAGTTTTTTTGTATGATGTTACTTTGAAAATGGCTGTTTTGTTCATAAGATACTTGTTCAAAATAAAACTCAGGAATGTTCTCAATATATTTAATATTTTCCTTTTAAAGTACATATTTACAAGGAGCATTTTCTGTTAAGGACTTGAGTGAAACATAAGGTTTAATGCATGGCTTTTTGCTTAAAGGAGAAGTTCGGTTTTTTACACTTTAAGCCCATTTTCTGTAGTGTCCAGGATGAAATCGAATGATCGACACCAAAATTTTGACAATTGGTCCTGTCTCTGCTTTTTGGCTCATTTAGAATCTCCCCCTGGCTGCTTTAGAATGGCTTGCATAGAGCATGTCCGATAATGTCCTTAAAACAACCTTAAACGTTCTTTTTTTTAAATATGCTACTCACCGTGTCGTCAGCGCTGTTCAATGACGTTCCAAAAAAAGTTTCGTGAAGAAAAAACGTTCCTGTAGTGTTTTATTTAGCATTTTGTAAATCCCATTGAGTTCTGTTGGAATAGACAATATTCCCCTGCCACCGGAAACGGAAATGGGGCCTGTTTACACAGTTGTAGTCTTTTCGCTTCACTCTGTGTACTCCGACGTCGAGAATCAAGAATCCACCTTTCGTATTCCATTTTCAGAGTTTTTTAAAGTGTTTAACAGAGACGTTAGCACCTCGACGTCGGAGTACACAGAGTGAAGCGAAAAGACTACAACTGTGTAAACAGGCCCCATTTCCGTTTCCGGTGGCAGCGGAATATTGACTATTCCTACAGAACTCAATGGGATTTACAAAATGCTAAATAAAACACTACAGGAACGTTTTTTCTTCACGAAACTTTTTTTGGAACGTCATTGAACAGCGCTGACGACCCGGTGAGTAGCATATTTTAAAAAAAGAACGTTTAAGGTTGTTTTAAGGACATTATCGGACATGCTCTATGCAAGCCATTCTAAAGCAGCCAGGGGTGGATTCTAAATGAGCCAAAAAGCAGAGACAGGACCAATTGTCAAAATTTTGGTGTCGATCATTCGATTTCATCCTGGACACTACAGAAAATGGGCTTAAAGTGTTAAAAAGTGAACTTCTCCTTTAAGTACTTATCTTGCTTCTTGTTTTCATCCCTATTTCTATTAACCTTTATTAGTCTTTCCCTAAAGAACAGATTTGACATTATCACAAGCTAAAGGGTGAGTTTATGCTTTACAATCTGCCCTACCAGTCTCCTGGCGTTGGAGTTACTAGATTTAAAAGATTAAAAGATTTCTTGGTGCTGTCAGTGTACAATTGGATGTCTAAATAAGCAGATAAAAAAAAAATCTATAAAAAAATAATGATTTTATGAATAGATTTTTTTTTTTTTAATTGAAGATTTTTTTTTTAACCAATCAACTTCATGGGCTTCCGTAGCTCAGAGTTACATCAGTTTATAACATTTGGTTCTTAGATGTGTACTACCTGCAGACATTGAATGTGTTATATTTTCATAGTTTGTTGTGAAAAAGGATTATTTTACAACATTTTTCGTTGGTCATACATAAATGTCACTTACCAGAGGAGAGGATTGACATAAGTTTTTTGACAGCTCTGTATTCCTCATTTTTAGTGTGGAACTTAAATTATATTTTCTTCAATAAATCAATTGATCGGATTTGGTAGGAAAAAAATCAGAGGTTATATGTTTCAGCCATGTTGCCCAGTCCTTCTATATATGGATATTTGTATGTGTGTATTTACACAGAAAGAGAGACAGATGATTAAAAAAGAGACCTTATTGATTTTGTAACCACTGAATGGAGTGTTTTCATGTTTTTGCCATTTACAATTTAATCAAAGGTTTTTTTTTAATGAGTAGTGTTAATTTACTAAAAGTAACCTTTTTTTAGATTAATCAATTGATCGACGAAATGCTTGATAAATTAACCGAAAACTGAAAAAATATATCTGCCTCAATGGGTCAGTAATAGATTTGAAAACAACACCTGGTTCCCTGAGCCTTGGTTTTATTTAAAACATTATGAAAACATGTTTCAATCCTGTCTGACATCAGTGGTTCAGTCAGATGGATGTTGTTGCTGGTTTTCTGTTCATGACCAGAGTGATCTCACAGCTTTAGAAGGAAATTCCTGTAACCATGGTAAATAGCTCAGATCATCTCAGACCTTTTCCTTAAACATAACTAAGTTCACTGTAGGGCAGTGGCCTCCAAAAGAGCAGCTATAAGGAGAATCCCATCTAGAATAGAACAGAATTCAACTTTATTGACATTACACTGTCACAAGTACAAAGCAACAAAATGTAGTTTGCATCCATGCAGAAGTGCTGTACAGGATATAAATATTTATTTACATGTATACAGAAACTGTGTATGTATGGACTGTGTGGGGGTCCTTATAGTTGGTGTCAGGAGGCATTCAGGAGCGTGACAGGTGTGGGAAGAAGCTGTTCCGGTTCCTAGTCTGTAGGCTTCTCTGACGCCTCCCAGAGGGCAGGAATGAGAAGAGTGTGTGTGCAGACTGAGTGGAGCCCTTTTTCAAACACCGCTTACTGTAAATGTCCTTGATGGTAGGGAGCATTGTCCTGGTGATACGCTGGGCAGCTTTCACCACCCTCTGCAACGCCTTTCGGTCTGAGGCAGAGCAGTTCCCATACCAAACTGTGATACAGTTAGTAAGGATGCTCTCAATGGTGCAGTGGTAGAAGTTAGTGAGGATCTCAGAGGACAGATGGTTTTTCCTCAGGGACCTCATGAAGAAGAGATGCTGGAACGCCATTTTGATGAGTTTGGAGCAGGTGGTCATCTAGGTCAGGTCCTCCGAGATGTGGACTCCCAGGAAATTAAAGCTGTCCACACGCTCCGTCGCCACCCCCTTGACGTGGATGGGTGGATGTGGGTCAGCATTCCTCCTGAAGTCCACGATGAGCTCCTTGGTCTTTTCAGTGTTCATGTAGGGAGCATCTGAAGTTTCTGCAGCTACTGCCACCTTATCAACATGAAACTAAACCTATAATGAGTACTTCTGACGAATTACTGGAGTTCTTAAGGTAAAATGAAACCCATCTAAGTGTTAGTAAGGTGTGTCTAGTAAATTGGCCAGTCAGGGCATCTTGTAACATTATTTTGAGCCAACCTTGGATTAGTTTAAAAATAATGTATTTTCATTTATGGCTGGATTAAGTCAGCGTACCTGCTGATCACACTGTAACTGAATGGATTAATAGCTTCTGACCAGGTTAAAATCCTTAAACAGTCCTAAAATATATATTTATTTTGAATCTGAAAGTTAATTCAAAACTTTATTTCAAGTCCAAATGATTTAAAACCAAAGTGACATAAAGATCAGATATTTTCATCAGACGTTGAACATGCGTAGCGACATATCCATCCTCTGTCCCCTTCAGCAGTAGAGGACATCTTCAAAGATTCCATTTTCACAGACTTACTATGTATGCTCTATACCTCCATTGTTATCTCATGGAAAACAGTGGACAGGGAGTGAATAAATTAGGGTATAAGGTATTCATTGCGATTCGATAGATGCCTGATGGATCAGTGTCAGGATTTGACTCTTGGGGTTGCTTTAAACCCTCCTCACAGCCGCATCACGCCTCAGTCAGCGTTTGTTGGAGGGAGCAGCTTTGGCAGACTGATTTTCAGTGAACAGAAGGGAAGAGGGAGAGTTTGGAGTGATTGGAGGAGCTGAGTTGAGAGCGAGCGGAGTGAAAGCAAATGTCAGAGACTCTCACTGCCAAGACTGCAAGCGTTTGCATGTGAGTGTGTGTTTTTGGCTCCTGTGTAAGAGAAAGGTGGTATATTTTAAAAGTCAAACTGTTTCTTGCTGCTTCTATTTCTTCTGTCAATCCCATCAATCTTTGTTTTGTTTTATGCTTTTTTCCCCCATCATGACGACAGAAGTCAGACGAAGAAATGGAGATGTTCAGGAACGCCGGAGTTCCTCCGAAACAGAAAGTCACCATCTTTAGAGTGTCAGACAATGCAGTCATAAAACCCGGTATGAGCAAAACTTCTAGATTGAGTTTAGCCTTTAAATGGTAAACTCAAATTTTGATAATTCTTTTATTTTGTCTCTATGATCTAAAGGCACTCCTCTATATGCAGCACATTTCCGGCCCGGTCAATATGTCGACGTCACAGCCAAATCGTAAGTTGTTTTTTTCTTTTTTAAACACATCTTCCCCTAGGTAGATCTCTTTACATTTCAGATATTGAAGATTTTAGTTTGCATAATTTAATGTTTTTGTTTTTCATTAAATAACTAATCTATATAAATTCTGACTTGAAGAGGCTTTATGAAGTTTTTATATTTGTTAAAGTTTTCTTTTAGTCAGTATGTTAGGAAATTATTGTGAATGGTGAATTGTGCTGTGGGTGTGTGGAGCTTTTCCTGTGCATGTATGAATCCATGTGTATTTGTGAAGATAGAGACTGATTTAGCTCCAAAATTCTGCAATTACACTTTTCTCTCACTCCCAACTTGGTGGTCGGCTGCAAATTTATCGTGGCTTCCCTGGATATGCCTTTACAAATTACTCTTTTTATTATTTGACAACTTCTCATTGCAAAGCAAACATGCAGGCAATCCTTCCACATAGGTAATCTAAGCAAATGTTTCCATCCATTCTTCTTTAAATCCTCTGTTCTCATCAACTATCTTCCTTTTTTTCCCCTTTGGGATCCATGGCCCAAGATACACCCGCCAGTTTGTTTACAGCAACCACCTGCCTGGCACAGAGCCACTATGAAACATTTACATTTGTTGTTTAAATTGATTTATTATACAGATTTATACAGCTTTGGAAAACGTAATTAATGTTTGTTTGACCTCCTGCACACCATATCAAAACAAAAACAAAAAAACTCCATCTTTTTCCATTTTCATACATTGTTGAAAAAGCTCCTGGGAGATGCAAGGGGGATATTAAAGAGCTGCGGGTTGCCGACCCCTTCATTAATCAGCCCTGACCTATGTTGGGGAAACACTGGTATCCATGTTTGGGGTTCTTTTTCTGGTGAAAGTTGAACCTCGGCCCCAGTTTCAAGACCTTTGTAGCCTCGAAAAGGTTGTCCTTTTTATTTCTTATAAAAAGCATGCATCATTTCTAGTTGGTCCAACACATGCAATCCCTATATAATCCAATGACTTTCAGGCTGTAATCCATACATTTTTCAGTAAAACTTCCTAAATCCAGTTGCATATCATGTGAGTGAATGTTTATGTCTGTGTATTTTGGTAGCATTGGTAAGGGTTTCCAAGGTGTGATGAAACGTTGGGGATTCAAAGGTCAGCCAGCGAGCCACGGTCAAACCAAAACTCATCGCAGACCAGGAGCTTCTGGACCAGGAGGGGTAACGGATGCAGCAATACACACAGACATGACAAGTTTGCTTCTTTTCCTTTATTATTGAAGCTTGTCTGATATTTATATGCATTTAGGATCCAGCCAAAGTTTTCAAAGGAAAGAAGATGCCTGGAAGAATGGGCAACACATACATCACAGCTCACGGCCTGAAGGTAAGCGCTGATACAAACATGGGCCAATTCTGCTTTGAACCCGTTTGTCCTTCAATCCTTTATTAATCTAATCTTGTTCAATCTGCTTTGTTTTCACATTTCTGTCTCACAGATATGGAGGGTGAATACCAAATATAATGTGCTGTACGTTCACGGCACTGTCCCCGGTCATCGGAACTGTGTCCTGAAGGTAAACAAATAAAAAAACAAGCCACACATAACGTGGAGTGTGAAGTCAGCGGTCAGCTCAGGCATGTTTCGAGAGCTGACTGCGACGAGTGACCTTGCACCTGCGAAATGCCGTCACACCTGCAAGACGGTGCGATTTATCTTCATTGACAGCGCGCTGGATCAGCATGGGTGTGTGTGTGTGCACGCATATGTATTTCCCTCGGGACAGGAAATGGAGGCATGCACCTTAATGATGTGGGTAAAATCCTTAACATCCATCTGCTTAAAATGCATGTTGTGCTCACCTCATCAGTTTGCAAGTGTCGCATTTACCTGGATTCTTATTTGATCTGGAGACAAGTAATAATGAATACAAATGCTCGTTTAACCCATCTCAGCCTCACACACATTCATCTCTCTAGATAAAGGCCACAGGTTTTTACCTGTTTTTATTCTTTTTAGCAGCCCTAATGTAAAGATATAAACCAGGGAACATATCTGCTTTATTGATTGCAATTAAAACTGAAGCTAACAAGTTTTTTTTTCTACTCCCTTTGATTTTTTTTTCCCAGACATCTAACTAATAACTCATTAGAGGCTGTGAGTCCTGCATTGTGTCAGGGTTTCTTTGAAGTGTAGCCAAGGGAAAATTAAAGTGAAACTTGTGGGAAAATAAAATGATTATCCATCATAACTGTTAGAAGTAAATTACTCTAAGGGAAGGTTTTACAGAGTTGTGTTTTTGCATGTTTTGTCGTTTATCATGCTGATCACCACCTAATCGTTATTTGCAATGTTATTACCTGAATTTAAAGTGAGGAGTAGATACAGGGGTGTGATTCCGGGTCCTTGAGCTACGTCTGAGTGTGTCTGCATCACCATAAATCACACAGAATAGCCAGTGGAAACTTTAAAATTGGCCTCTTTAAGAATCAGTTCCTTTTCCATGCCATTATCCTGCCTTTCATTCATGGTCTTATACGTTTTGTGACTGGGTACCGTCTCCCCACTCGAACAGAATGGCTTCAGGCTTCAAGTGCAGGTCCTCCTTCTTCCTTTGTGCTCCTTCATTCTTCACATCCGTCGCCAGCAGGCGGACTGTTTGTCATTGTTAGACCCGACTAGTGACAGGGTTCCCGCGGGTCCTTAAAAAGTCTTAAAAGGCATTAAATTCTTCAAAATAAAACTAAGGCCTTAATTGGTATTAAAATGTCCTAAATCAGTCTTGCATAGGTCTTAATTGTTAAAACATTTATTACGATTTATTTTTGTAATCTAAATAAAACATTAAAATTTGATTTTTTTTTTTTTTTTATGAAAAAAAAATAACGGCTCGCCATTATTGGTTCCGTCCCGATAGCGGAACCAATAAAAGCCTTGTTGCGGCCGGGACATTTGGGAGATGCGCCATTTACTTTTTGTCTGGAAAATATGAGCAAGTGTAAATGTAACGAAAATTGGTTATCCAGCCAAGAGTTTTCTCCATGGCTAAAACCAGGGAACATACATGAGGCACAGTGTATTTTGTGCAAGAAGTCATTCAAGCTCAGAACGATGGGAATTAAGGCAGGGAAGTCGCACATGTGAAGCACAAAACACAAAGGGTCAAAATCGAGTTACAGAGAAACAGGCGGTATTTCTCAGTTTTGTTCCACCCTTGTCTCTGCAACGCCTCCACTTATCACCAAATCAAACATACTAAGAAAACGATACAAAGAAAAATTGCTGCAAAAAAGACGTAGCACTGGTTATGTTGTGGCTTTAAACCTGATTTATTTTGTTTCCTGCTAAAAAAAAAGTTTGTGAATTCAGTTAAATAATTGTAAAACAATATCTGTCATTTGTATGTTTTTAGCTTTCTTCCTGTATGGGAAGCTTTTCAAAATCTGAAACATTAGTGCAGTGGTTTATGTTAAAATAAACCTTTGGGTTAAGTTGTCGCAAGCAGGTTTTTCTTGTTTCTTGTGAATTTGGTCTTAAATTTTTATTTCAAGTGGCATTAGAAAGTCTTAAAAAGTCTTATGCTGTAGGAACCCTGAGTGACCTGACAGTGAGAATGTGACAGTGAAAATTAAAGTGCATAAAAAACATTAAATTTGATGTTGGAAAAACATTTTTTAAATTGAAAAACAGATAAGTTTATAAAAGAATTGAACAACTGAAATAATTTTCTGGCTAACAGATGTTAGCATAGCTGGAGCTGCTCCGTTCACTTGGCTTACTGTCAGCTGCACATAAAAACCTGTCATCAGACCTGCTTGGAGCATTTTGCTGAGTGTTAGCCAGGAGAAACTATTTGCTACGTCTTTGAAAATTGGTGTTTTTATTTTAATGATCTTTCACATATTAGTTATTGATCCAGGAGTCAAGGATCTGTGAAGCATGTATTGTTTACTTCACACTGAGGTCAGAAGGTCTGCTAACTAGATACTGATCTCATTTACACTGAACTTTGTAAGACTCGCTTCAAGATATGGACGACTGGGTAACACAGGCGTGTATTTCTGCGATTTAAAGTAAATCATCCTGCACTTCTTAGCACTGTTTGGCTTTTTTATCAGTGCATCGTAAAACATCGGTTGCTACTTTCATCCTTCTTTTATTTTTTTAAGTTTGGGGGTTTTGAGCTCAAAAATACAAAGTCCCAATCTGGTTCTAGATTAAAATAAATTTGTTTTTAATGCTTAAAAAATTTAGTAGCGGGATGCTGCATGATCCACATATTAGCTGTGACAGGTTAGAGTCCCGGTCCTGCTGTCTTTTCCCGAATGTCTCTCATCTCTCTTGTAATCCACTTTCCTGTCTGCATACTTTCAAAACTAACAAAATGAATGCCGCTTTAAAACCACGTTTGGAATTATTGTATAAAACTGTGACCATGAGTCGCCCTTGACAAACGCATCATTAGTTAACTTTGAAAGAACTATCAGACAACAAATAACTCTGCAGTTGTCTTTAAACTTGTACCTGCTAACTGTGCTTTCACAGTTTGCTGATATGCTGCTACACTCAGTCAGTTAGATTACAGCTAATCCTGAGCAACCTGAACCTCAAGATAAAGTTGTTCTGCTGCTACATAATCGTGTATTAGTTTAACATTGTGTAATGAAATGATATGGAGCTATGCCCTACGTAGTCTGCTTTCTGAATATCTGACAATAACTCGGGGAACTACTCCTTTTACATTTAAGTATTCTTTTCACTTTGAAATCTTGTGGTATCCCCCATAAACTGCGATTTTGGCCTTTGCATATTCTCTATTTCGTAGGTCTTCAACAGGGGGTCCGTGACCCCTAGGGGTTCCACAGAGGTACTGCATGGGGGTCGCGAAAGTTTTGGTTGATAACACTCTTTTTTTTTTTTTTATATTCCCCCCTGCAATTGTTCCACTAATTGAAAATTCTTTAAATACACATAAACATGAATTAAACACACTGTATTAAACAGATAAATGGAGGCAGAAGATGTCTTTCAGTCATCAATGCACACATTCAGCGACACACAGGAGCTCTTTTAAGCTGGGCACCGTTTCATTCACAACACCAGTCCCATCAACCAGGAATCCGAATCAGAAATACTTTATAATCCCAGGGAGAAATCACTTCCATTACATGACTCCATCTGTAATAGAGTGACTATAGGACCAGTTTGATATAACACAATTTCATTCAATATATATAATTAGGGGGTCCCCGCTCCATCTCGCCATCAGTTTGGGGGTCCTTGTCCTAGAAAACGTTGAAGACCCCTGCTCTATTTTAATTGTGAGGTCCACAGCTGCACCATTTGTGATGCTAAGTGGGAACTCCTACTGATCATGGAAAATAAAACCCTATGATTTTAAGAATCAAAAGATTTAACAGGACACTTCATGGAATACTATCCAGTGTTAACCATCTAAAAAAGGATGCAAATACCTATAAAATATGCCCATGGTTGGAAGCTGAATAAGGGAAAATATGCATATTTTTGCAAAAATTAGATTTTCTACCACATTTAAACCTTTTTACCTGGTTTATAGTACATTTAATGAATAAAGAGGCTATATCGATATTTTGGCAGGGTTTATTTATTCATTTCTTTTTTGCTCTATTAAAACTGTTTTAATTAATCTTCAAATTAAAGGACTTGTGCGTTAAAAGGGTCAACGGTGTTAAAGAAAACTTAAGCAGCAGCTTTCAGAAGATGTTTTTTCCACTTTCCAGCACTGCTTTATTTGTTTGAGCTTTATTTTTATGTTGTTCATATTACCACCTACTGGGGGAGCTTGTGTATTGGAGTAAGTCAGACTATGTGGACGCAGAATTATCCAAAAGCGAAGCAAAAAATTGAATGTAAACATTTTTGAATTGTGCAGCAAAAGCCTTAGAAAGCTTGGGAGAAATACTTGTATGAACAAAAAACATGGCTTAAGGTAGTGTTTTACAAGCCATTAACGTAGAAACGAGTCTTAATTTTTAAACTACCTTTCAAATAAAACCTCTCCTAGGCTTAGACTATGCATGCAGTGGATAATGTATCAGCAGTCATTCAAAGTTTTTGTCCAAAAAGCTATTATTAATCCTCTAAGAAGAAAAGAGTGAAAGGATTGGATCGGGACATCCCTACTTTTTTTCAACAAGGGAAAAAAAAAAGTGTTTCTTTTATAAACTTCAGCATTTATTTGAGGAACTTTGTGAGGCATTTGTGTGAAATACTGGCCCAACATTCCTTACAGCTGTTTAGATGTAAATTTGCCTCTGAGTAATAAACTCCTGTGTTTTTAAAACCACTTGGGAAATATGTTTTCCTGCTGCCACTGCAGCCATTTCATCAGATTTTTATTATTCTACTAAGTGTATGTTTGTGTTTTGCAGGTGAGCGACAGCATACTTCCAACCAGACGATCCTCTCTGCTTAGTCCTCCTTTTCCCACCTACTTCACCGAAGAGGAAGCCGATCTGGATGAAGATCTGTATGATGACGACTTGTTCGTTCACACAGACCCGTCCTTAACATTAACCTGACCTTAGACTCACTCACACATAACCTTTCCCAAAACCTGCCATAACTGTGTATGCTTTAATAAAGAATTGTTCCTGAAACTAACTCCTGTTTCCAAATGTGTGTAAAATGATCGGTCTGTTTGATCAAAAATGATATTACTGTCCCTCTCCGCTGAAACCATGGTAACTGTAAGAGTGGTGATGTCACTAGAGGATCCCCAAGCATAGAGAGAGAAAGAAAAGACAATGAACCACAACAAAGAGCCGGATATGTTAGAGAAATGTGTAATATCTATGCAGAATGGAGAGAAGAGGGCAAGAAGGGGGTGAGCTGGATACAATAAAGCGAGAAGAGTGAAATACAGACAGAACGAGCTGTCGTGGAAGGAGGGGAGTAATAAATTGAGTATAAGGCATGGAAGCAAATACAAAGGAAAAAGGGGCGAGATGAGCTGGAGAAGGTGTGGAGCCTAGTTAAAGGATGAGGAGAAAGAGAGGAGATGAGGGCTGACAAAGGTTGACATTTGTGCATAAGAGGATAAATGAGAACATTAAAGTTGCAGGAGAAACTGCTGTGCGCTTAAGTGTGTGTGTTTATGTTCAGCAGTATTCAGATGAGGGATTAATTTCGGGGGCCAACAGAGCCTAATCTGTCCTTTTATTAGTTATGTGGAAGTGGGTGGGATAAATAAGCACGTAATTGCATCTTCTAAACAGTTTAGTGGATGTATCCTCACAGGCCCACATATAAATCAGTCCCTCTCTGCTGTATGTCTGCCGTGTAATTGACAGCCACAGTAACAAGGCCCTTTGTTTGATTCTCATGTCAAACGGCAGCGATGCCTCACAGGAAAGCCCAGCAACCACGCCTGCTCCCTAATTGAATCGGCACACACCAGCTTTCTTTGAAACGAGACAACACAAACCGGGTTATCTATCATCGTGGCAATAAAGGAGTGCAAATGACGAGGCAGTTTGTGGCAACATGCATCCTGATCCGTGTAACATGCCACAGCTTGCATGTCTGTGAGGAAGCAGCGGGAGCTTTGAAATGGAAATGATATTGTTTAAAAGTCCTGCTCTGCAGAGCCTGCACATCATCAGGCTCCTGTTGGGGGGGGAGGAAGAAGTTGTTGTCTTTTAAAGCAGCAGAGCAGAAATCTAGAAACATCTACTGAGAAAGTATTCAAACACATCATTGAGCATTATTCAGCTGGACGGTTATTTGGTCCACAAACAAAACATTCAGTTGTTATATGTAATCAACTTTCATGTGCAAAAGAAGAACAAAATAAACACATGAATGAATCATTTGGCTTCTAGTTCACTGTGCTTGGTTGTCAAGGTAATGCTGTCAATATACAGAAAAACGATGCATATATAGTATGCACATTTTCAAGGTTACTGACGAAGGTTGTAACGTGAAAGACGGACAATTTCAGTGTAAAGTAATTCCTGCTTGCATCCAAAGTTATTAAGAGTCCTGGAAACGTTTATGCTACAATCAATTTGTAGCTACTTGACCTTTTATAAATCTAACCCAATGTCTACCAATCTATCAATGGTAATCAATGACTTCCTGTTTCCCCTGAGAGTAAATGTGACATGACACAAGGCTCATTTCTCTTCTCACAAGGCTTGATGAAGATTGATCTCACCCCCCCAAAGTAAAGTAAAAAGAATTGAAAAGACGGTAATACATCTCTGAGCCTCAGTGAAGCACGGAGTTGCATCTTGAAATCTGCAGGTCTTCTCAACAGCTAGATTCTGTATTTACCCAGCAAATAGAATACAATAGGTTTTTGAAAAAGGCCTTTTTAAACATCTTTATCAGGGGTCCCAGAAAGTGTGTAAACCTATTCATTTCTGTTTCTTTTTTTCTTCTAAAATTGTGAGTTATTGTATTGGATTTAGCACAATTTTGTGTGAATCCTTTTTATTATACCGACAAAAACCCAGCCTATTCTTACATTGATACACACGCACACACAGATAATGTCATAATGTCACAGATTGACCTGCTCCTCAAGAGGCAAAGAATACTTCTGAGTCCTTCTTCCAGTTTCTCCCTCCTGCATGTCATTCTTCTCATTCCCTCCTGCCTCTCCTCCTCCTGCTATCATTTTTCCTTTTTACCTGCAGCACTACCTTCCCCCCCTCCCTCCCTCCCTCAGCCCTTCTCCCTCAACTTCCATATTGATTTACTCGACATCCCGCGGTCACATTCTCGTGGCGAAGGTTTCCGGCTGAAAACCCCTGACATTTACCTCGCAGTTACAACATGGCTCATTTAAACTTCGCAAAACAGGGAATGATTTAATGAGTCAGTTGCCCCCCAAAAATTAGGGGCAAAGGCAAATATTTATAACAGGCTAGTGAAGCGATTTAATACCGTTTTTCTAGCCTAAATCAGGGGCCTGCATACACCTGCAGAAGAGTTATTTTTTTCATGTTTGCATCCAAATTTTCCCCTTCCTCCTTTAGTCCTCTGATATCTCAGATTATTATGTGGGGTTTAAACATTTGGAACTAGCAAGGACTAATTTTGTAAGGTCATGTATGCAGATTAATGGAGTAAACATCTGAAGGCAGGATGGGGACACCTACAGAGAGGAAAGTGGGTACCCAAAGGCTGCACCCTGCTCTCACCCAGCAGTGCTGCAAGGAAGGAACCCAAATTCGCCAACATGGGTGGGTGACAACCACACACACACACACATTTTTATATATATATATATTTACACACACACAGGAGACGCAGGTGTGAGCAACTGGGAAGGGCTTGCCACAGCAGGATCACCGGCAGTGCAGCTTAAAGGGAAATGTAATGGCTGTGCACAAAAGGCTTCTATCTGTTCTTCTGACTTTAGCTCCACTCAATACATACAGGTTTATCTCAGCAAATGAGATTATAGTTTCAAATACATGTTTTTGTCATTAATTTAACTGCAACCTGGATTCAACATAGATTGGAACACATATTTATGTACAACTTTTTATTTCTGTTTATTTTGATGAACATGGCTTGCAGCCGAAAGAAACACAGAATCAAGTTACGCTGCGTACTTGGTCTGCACTCCTATAGTATAAATTACTGCATCAATGCAGCATGGCAGGAGCTGATCAGCCTAGGATGCTCTAAAAGCTTCAGCTTCATTGGCTCTAATGTAGCTTAAGCAAGCAATTGTCCTAATAATAAATTGTTCCATACACTAAAATTGCTGTTAATAAAGAGTTAGTTTAATGTTCGTATGTAATGTCCAAATTTCCTGGGAAATAGAAGCAGAACTATAGGTTTTCACAAGCTGTATATCATTACTCTGTGAAATATACAAATTGATCCTATTTCTTGTTTTTAGATGGGTGCTGTGTTTCATTGGAATAAAGTAACAGCATTGGAATAAATCCATCTTAAAAGTTCATGAATTATAGCATTTTTTTTCTTCTCTATGATAGAAAAAGTAAACTGCTGTATGTTGGAGGAGAATCGTTGTTCAATGCATGAAGCTGCGCTCTGGAGAAGATAATCAATTCATAATTGATTCCACTCTATTTACAGACAGCAAATCAAGACAGGCTTCTACAAATAATTTTATCTTCTGTTGCTGCAGAATAAAAAGCTGAATTCATTTTTAATTCTTCCCATTAATTGACACAGGTCCTATATAAAGACTTTGTGGTATAATTGCTTAGTGATACAAGTCTGAGTGAAATTGGATTGGCGTCCTATCAGTCCCTCTCTTCTCTTTTTCGCTGCATCGCTGTCACTGTATTACTGGCTGTCTGACTGAGACAGTTAATGTGCTCAAGAGCCAGCTGTCCCTCAAATAACACACTCAATAATTCATGCTGCAAGGCAAACACACATCTGTGTGTTTGTGTGTAGATGCAGGTCAGCTCATCAGTTCAATAGTTGTTGTATAAACTCAGAGAGAAGGTTACAACTGAAGCGCCATCAAGCCCTGGACAGAGAATGCTTAAGTAGTAAATAATAATGATATAGTAATAATCATCTTTGAATTAAAGGTGCTCACAGCAATTAAGTGTGTATAACAGTTGGGGGAGTGTGTGTGTTTTCTCCTTAGTAATTGAAAGCAGATCTCTCATGTGTTGAGCCAGCAGAAGTGGAGCAGTAGATCCATCATGTCAGGACAGGGTTAGAATCTCAGGCCGACCTTCTCAGACCATCCAAGTAATTCCCCCACATAATGTTTAGACTCAGCTGAAACATGGATAGCACTTTAATTACTGAGATGAGAGTAAATGCAGAGATAAGGCATCAAACAAACTAACGAATGAAAACTTGGACGGTTGGAGCCTCGAATATGTTGGCTTTTTGTAACAAAAACAAGTCTGGATTACAAAAGAGGACAAAAAACAACAATATGAAAACTTAAAGTAGTTTCGAATTGCTGTTTTTTTTCTACACAGTGGCTAAAACTAAGTTATTGAGGCAGCACTTGGACAGCAATTTTGGTTTGTTGCAAGGTAAAATTACTGTTTTTGTCAGGGGAGTCGGGGTTGCTTTGAAGAGAGAGATGGCAGCCTCTGATGTCTGCTAGACAGCGGCAAAGGAAAAATATTTCACTCAGGCTGATATTGTTTCTTTGACACAATCGAAGCAGCTTCAGTTCCTCAGTATGCTTCTAAGGGAATTTCACACCGTTTGAGAAGAGTTTGAGGTTCAACCATCATCCAAAACACTTGGTTCTTAAACTTTGATACAAATATTACAAGTATTCTTTTGTTTGACTAGTGAGAATAAATTCTCATGATAATTGTTTACAAGGTTTAGATAAAACAACCCAACTAGCTGCAATATAGAGCTGCCTAAACCTGCAAACACGTATGCTGCTTATAGGATGAAAGTGTTCAATATTTATCAGAAAAACAGGTTGCAGATAAGAGTTAACTATTTTTGAAGTTGAAACCTGAATCTGGGAATGACGATGTTCCAAACTGGAAAATTGGTCACATAATAACATGTAGTTGTCTTCATTGAAGACAAAATGAAGTTTCGTAGAAATGTGTATTTGTAGGATTTAATGAAATAAAAATCATTAGAATCGCACATAAACTATTTGTACTTATGTATATTACTGAATTATTTAT